GAGCCCTGGCATCAGCTCCATACCGGCACGTGCACCCACACATCGGAGAGGGCGGTCGGGGAGGGGCCTGAGGCAGTGCAGCCTCACTCTCTCCCCCACTCCCGGCACAGAGCTAGTGACTGGGCTCTGGAGTCTGGCGCAGCTGTTTGCAGCCTGCCCACTGCTTGCTGCAGCTGCCTGGAGCCCAGGCTAGCTACAAACAGCTGTGCCAGGCTCCAGAGCCCAGTCACCAGCTCTGTGCTGTGAGTGGGGGAGGGCCCAGGGCTGCACTGCCTCAGGTCCCTCCCCCACCGCCCTCTCTGATGCTCAGGTGCACGCGCCAGTACGGAGCTGATACCAGGGCTCTGGAGCCCGGCACAGCTGTTTGGAGTCTCGTGGCTGCAGCTGGCTCCAGCTCTGGGTAGCTAGTGCCAGCCGGGAGCCCAGGCTGGGGGGCAGCAGGGCTGGGGGGGCAAGGGCACATGCAGGGTGTCCTGCCATATACCCCCTACCCTCATTTTGTTTTTCTGGCATGCCGGCACTCCGGCACCTCCAAGTTAGGCATTGTGGGGGTTTTTAGCACTCTGACCAAAAAACATTGCCCACCCCTAGTCTAGGTCATTCTGAATTCTAGTTGAACCCTCCAGTGTATCTACTACATGCCCCCAGCTTGGTGTCATCTGTGAACATGCTGAAGATATTGAACAAACCCAGTCCCAAGACCAACCCCTTGGGCACTTTACTTAATACTGGCTGCCAACTAGTCATTGAGCTATTGATTACTACCTGTTGAACCTGGCAATCCGACAATCCATATATTACATCCACTGCTTTCCCCGCATCCACAGAGCCAGTCATTTCATCAAAGAAGGCAATCATGCTGGTCTGGCATAACTTTGACGAATCCATGGTGATTGTTCCTGATCACTTCTCCTACAAGTGCTTAGAAATTGATTCTTTGAGGATCTGCTCCATGATTTTTCTGGGGACCGAGGTGAGGCTGACTGGTCTGTAGTTCCCTGGATCCTCCTTCTTCCCTATCTTAAAGATGGGCACTATTTTTGCCCTTTTCCAATTGTCCAGGACCTTCCCCAATCGCCATGAGTTTTCAAAAATAATGGCCAGCGGCTCTGTAATCACATCAGCCAAGTCTTTCAGCACCCTTGGATACATTGCATCTGGCCCCATGGACTTGTGCACGTACAGCTTTTCTAAATAGTCCCTAACCTATTCTTTCAATGCTAAGTGCTGTTCACCTTCTCTCCAAACTGTGCTGCCTGGTGAAGTAGTCTGGGAGCTGACCTTGCCTGTGAAGACTGAGGCACAGGAGGCATTGAGGACTTCAGCCTTTTCTTCATCATCTGTCACTAGATTGCCTACCACATTCAGTAAGGGACCCACACTTTCCCTGACCTTCCTCTTGTTGCTGACATACTTGTAAAAACCCTTCTTGTTACCCTTCATGCCCCTTGCTAGCTGCAGCTCGAGTTGTGCTTTGGCCTTCCTGACTTCATCCCTTCATGCCCAAGCAATATTCTTATACTCCTGCTTAGTCATCTGCCCAGGCCTCCATTTCTTGTAAGCTTCCTTTTTGTGTTTAAGATCACCAAAGAGTTCTCTGCTAAGCCAAACTGGTCACTTGCCACATTTGCTGTTTTTCCTTTGCATCACAATGGTTTGTTCCTATGCCCTCAGTAAGGTTTCTGATGAATCAGAATGCCTCTGATCCCCTCACTCATTGTATTAAATCTGAGTCTGAATTCTCTAGTATTCATACTTTGCCTCTGCATCCTGGAACTGTCTCCATATTGAACTGTTAGAAATCTGTCTTCTAGCCTCTTCTCTGTTTCTCTTCCTACAGCTGAGATCTAAAATATGTAAGAGGGAAAGAGTCAGTGGGCACACACTGAATGGAGAGGCTCATTTATCCAGCTGTTTCCCATCTTGTTTACCTCTGAATCTGGTTCCCCACAAGCCTTAAAGAGGGGCTTATCTTCCCAACAATGGCTCAGGGTGCTTATAATGAGAAACACAATAAATGAAAAAGAGGTGAGCAATAAGAGGATCAAAACAGCTTACAAGGAAACTAGAACTTCAAGATAAAACAGAGACGATATACCATCTCATCCTAGTTTTGTTTAGAGAATGCCTGTCCATAGTAGGATTTTGCTTTCCAGGTTCCATGAAAGATCTCCTCAGTTGTTGCCAATCTCCGTTCTGAAAAAAAAAAATTACATTTCATTTTGAAATATTATTGCAAACAGGATTCTTTTATTTCATTTACCTGACAGATTATTCAATTTTGTTGAACTTGACATTTTCCTGTTGGAACACCTTGGTTTTGACAAAACTACATTTCCCAGTTGCATTTGTTTTTCAGTCAAAGTATTTAAAATAACTGTTAAAAAATGCTGTATTTATCTGGAAGTATTATGAAATACAGTTTTGTGTTATTTGTAGGCACAAAAAGGCCGCACCACTATTGTAATAGCTCATCGTTTGTCTACAGTCCAAAATGCAGACCTTATAGCTGCATTTGAAGATGGAGTTGTCACAGAACAAGGGTCCCACAATGAATTAATGGAAAGAAATGGAGTTTATTGCAAGCTTGTTAACATGCAGGTAGATTTTTCCCCCTGAAATTTGTCTTCTAAATTTCTTTGTCACAGGTGTTATTGTATCTGAATTTATCATAGCCCAACAATGTTTTGTCAACAGTGATTTTAAAGGAAAGTGGAGGAAGTGTGGTTTGCAAGAGACTCCATAACAGGGAAATGTGAAAAGAGGCACAGAATTAGGGCAAAACATGGAAAGGAGGAAGGGAAAAATATTGCATTAGAGACCAGAAAAAAATAAATGAGTAAAAGAAAAGATAAATAGGAAAGAATACTCTTTCACTTTACATGCCCAAATGGCAGTTTTTCAGCTGTCTCTCTTGCACTGTTCATGATCCTATTCCATGTGCATGTGAGTAAGCACAAGGACTTTCCCACATCATTCCCAGTAGCTAAATGGTTAGGGCACTGACACAGGAGACCCACCTTCTAGATTCCCCTTCCCCCAGAGGAAATTTGAATTTGAATTTCTCTGAGCATAGTGCTCTAACCACCAGGCCATGGATTTGGGTGAGATTACATTTAGATCAGGTTAAGAGCACTTAAAACCTGAATGATTGCACTTCAAGGCTCATTAACAAGTGCCAGGCATCCTTTAGGTGTCTTAAAGTTACAGCACTTCAGGCAGGTGATGATTATCTTTGAGCCTGCAATCCAGCTTGAGTTAATTTCTGGCTGTTCACCTGAGATAAAACCACCAATTTGCAGTCCTCCAGTATCCCAGGAGGCAAGGCTCCCTGGTAGACTAGCTGTCACCCAGGACTCTACAGCCCTGGACTGACAACTGCAGAAAGCTGAGCAGCAGGTGAGTGGGAAGGGAGGAGAAATGGGTGAAGGGAAGCAAGGGGAAGCTGGGAAGAAGGGAGGGAGGAGCCGCTGGGTGGGAATCTGCCAGGCTGCTGCTCTGCTCTGTCCTCTAAATTGCCCCATCCACCCCTGGATTGCCCTCCTGACACTCCAGTTCCCCACCACCATCCAGATTTCTGCTCTGCCACCCCCATCAGCTCCTGAATCATCCCTACCCTTGAATCGCCCCCTCTGCCCGACATCACCTCCTGCCAGATGGAATGACTTCTGAATTGCCTCCCCCCATAGAATGACTCCTAAATTTCCCCCTCTGTTCCCCATCAGCTTCTCCACCCCCAGATTGATGTCCTGGCACCCCAATTGGCAGTGGTGGCGGTAGTTGGTGGAGGTTCCCCACCTCCCTGCTTGTACCCTGGCTCCCTGCAGCCCTTGTTGCCTCTGCATACCTGGATCCAACCCCCACCAGGCCGCATTGTTGCCCTGCAGCTCCTTGCCTCCCCACTCCTGGAATAGCTAATGGGGGACAGGAGGGCAATCAGGGCAGCAGGGCAGTGTGGGAAGGGGGGAATCAGAGTGGCAGGGGGGCAATCTGAGGGTGGAGGGTCTGATGGGGGGCCATTACTTCGAGGAGGGGCAACTGAGGGATGGCAATCCAAGTGGTGCATGGGAGGCCTTCCACCTTTTCCCCCAGCCTATATTATGACTAAAGAGCTCTTGAGCAGAGCAGGTATGGAGTAGAATTGCAATACCTAGCCACACCCCTGCTCAACAGACATGTAGCAGTAGGTCTGAGCAGTGCACATTAAGGAGGTTGTTAAGCCTTAATGTGTGACTGCTCACACACGTTAACTTAAGGCTAAATACAGACAGTCAAAAAGTCTGAGGCTGAATCAATTCAATCATTGCAGATTAGTGAAGCAAG